AGCCGGCTGTAGCCTTCCGGAACCATGCGCATCCGTTGCCGCTAGCTCAGCTGGCATGCAACTGTTGCATTTATTTTCTTTTTTCGTTTTTGTGTTGCGGCATACTAGCTGAGATGTTTTACACCTCTAGCTAACGTGTATAATAATGAATGATGATACACTTTAGCAACATGCTTGGCAGCTGACTACGAGCCACGCTTTATCTCAATCAGTAATCTGCCGCAATGATCTTTCATCACTATTATGGATTCAGGTGGCTGACTTGTGGCGTGATAGTCACAGATCTCGATCTGATAGTATCAGCATCTTAATCGGGTTAAATAGTCGTCCACTATTCCTCTGAATGTGCAATAGCTTTCTAATTGGGACTCGCTTTAGTCTCAAATACCAAACTTCCCTACTGTTCTCTTTCAACAGCTAATCGCCCTAGTTGACCGATAATTTCATTGCATAACTGGCTGCTTGGCGGTGAAAGTCGTGCATCTGGGGGTCATCCATCTTTTTTACATGACGGTAACATGCATGCTGGTCGACCGCTGCTGAATTGTCCCACTGGGATGAAACAACCGTCTACTCGTGCTCGGTTGCTACGGCCATTTTATAATCACTTTTAGAACGCACGTTAACACTTTCTACTAAGGAAATTAGCCGAAGAAACATATCACATCAATAACCGTCGTCTTCTTTGGCCAGGACCTCGTTATCCGCCCTCTCATCAATAACAACTTCTCGTCCACAGGATGATTGCGGTCCAGTATTGGTTATCAGCCCGGAGTATTACTTCTTGCTCCTGTCCCTTTCGTACAGCGATGATAATCCTTTTACACAATTTCCTCTTCTGTTTTCGCTTGTGCGTTTTCCTTTTGTTTCCCATTTGTCTCTTTCCGATATTGGTTATCTTTACTTTCGTGTTATCATCTGAGAACCCATCGCGATGAGGCTGGACCTTACCGTGGTGCGATGGTTTGTGTGCCTCAGTGATCCATTGAGCTATGCTGGGTGGTGCTTTTGCACCTTCAGAGCCACTCATACCAGGTTGGTCAATGGTTACAGGCCAGACAAACTCAGCCCCCTGGTCCTCCAGGTTGGGGGTTGGAATGAGGGTGACACCTTATTCCTTAAAACGGACTCCTTGTAGCCCACCGCCAAACCCGCTGCCTTGCGGTCAGGTTTTTGAACCAAAGGCTTTGGTTGAGGACCCTAATCGTTCTCCTGTCTAGGCCTGGGCAACCTGACAGTATCCTGCCCACGCAATACAATGAATCTCTCTTCAAACAAATTCCTGATGCTCTGGCCACCGCAGAGGATAATCAACGGTGCCCTATCTGCTGCATCGAGCAGGGTGGATAGGGGTTTGGATGCTACTGCTCAAGCCTTCCCGTCTTCTTATTCCCCCTCTTACGCTTTTTCTCCCTTATGGTCCTGTTCCAGATTCACTTTATCCACTCTTTTTTCACCCCCCCCCCCCCCGATTCTTGGCCCTCCCCCAACATGCTTTGCTAGTCATTTATCTTCTAGTTTCAACTCACTTGCTAACGCAGAGCCTCACTCCTGTCCTGTCGACAAGCCCTTGTCTAACCAAGCGGTCCACTCCAGTTCATCGGCTTCCATTTGGAGTCCTCGATCCTCCTTCAGATTGGCATACCAGAGCAACAACTTTACAGAAGCCTCTTACTCCACATATCCCCTGCGTTACAGTCAGCGGTTTTTGATCACGCTATTTTCAACCTGCGGGTCACCTGTTTGCTGTTTCTTCTCTTCGTCAGCAATTTGTTGGTTTAGACTTCTGTGTTGTTGGTTTGGCTTTACACAGTAGTTCAGTGTCTCTCATTCGTCTCAAACCCGCTAACTGATTACGCTGATTGGTGTTGCTAAAATCCCTATTCCGTCGCTACTGATAATGTTAATTGTTTTCCTTGTTTGATAAATCTGTAACGAGAAGCCATTTTCGTCCATGACACAATTTCTTCTTCCTTATCTGGTGATTGCGTCAGTTGTTGAAGCACCGCCACACATAGTGGCGGCTCACCGTAGTCGTGTTTCTGGACATCAAAGGTGCCTTCGATTCAGTTGATCGATGTGTCCTTTGGAATTGTCTACTCAGGAAAGGTGTACCTGAGAAATATATGAATATTATCCGAGCGTTGTATGCTCGTAGCTCGGGCAGAGTGAGGAGTTACGGCAAGTTGTCGTCGCCCTTTAATATCTCCAGCGGCGTGAGACAAGGATGCCCGCTGTCACCTTTCCTCTTCAACTTCGCTGTTGACGAAGTCATGGAAATCGCGTTCACAGGACACGACTTTGATGGTGTGGATCTGCTCCCAGGAGAACGACTTCTTGACTTAGAGTATGCTGATGATATTGCCCTAATCTGTGACAGCTCACAAACGTGTCAAGCGGCACTGGACAGATTAGCAATAGCTGTCCGTCACTTCGGGCTTTGCTTCGCACTCTCGAAGTGCAAAGCGTTCCTCCAAGATTGGTCTGAACCGCCCCCTACGCTGACCCTTGGTGGGGATCAGCTAGAAGTCGTTCAGAAATTCAACTACCTGGGAAGTTGTATCAGCGCCCGTGGGATTGAAGATGAGATCACGAACCGTATAGCAAATGCTCGGGGCGCTTTTGCTAACCTTCGCCACTTATGGCGCCGGCGCGACATCACTCTTGCCCTGAAGGGTAGAGTGTACAATGCAGCGGTACGTTCGACCCTACTGTACGGTTGTGAAACCTGGCCGCTTAAAGCAGTGGACCTGAGGAGGCTAGTTACGTTTGACCACTGGTGCCTTCGTAATTTAGCTCACATCTGGTGGGAACACCGCGTGAGCAACGAGCGTGTTCGACGCCTTGTTTACGGCACAGGAAAAGGAACTGAACCGCTCAGCACCGTTATTTCACGCACCAGGCTCCGATGGCTCGGCCACGTGTTGCGCATGCCAGCCCACCGACTCCCGCGACGTGCGTTGTTTGCTCGCCGGGGTTGTGGATGGAAGAAGAGGAGGGGTGGCCAAGCGATGACTTGGTCGAGAGTAATAAAGGCCCTCACTTCTGAGCTGGCCTCGGTTGGAGCGTCTCGGCTCCCTGGTTGGGGTCCGAAAGACGATGAACACGTTTGGTTGGACACATTTGCTGATATGGCTAGGAGCCGACCTCAGTGGCGTTCGTGCTGTGAGTTTCTTTGTCCCACCCCATCCCTCTTAGCCTCCCCCTCCAACCACGATCTCATTATTTAGCCTTGTATAATTTTGCATAGTAATTTTTTAATGCACAGTTGCCGGCTGGTAGCTTACCGGAACGATGCCCATCCGTTACCGATAGCTCAGCCGGCTTGCACCAGTTGCATTTTTTTCTGCTTTTTTCTGTGTATTGCGGCACAGTAGCTGAGGTGTTCCCCACCTCTAGCTAACGTGTATGATGATGATATCTGGTGATTTGGAGTTAAGTAGCGACAATGCTTTGCCCTCCTGTTAATCTTTGAAGTCAGTTGTGCGCCGAAGCACGCTTGTGGCTCGTCAGCCGAAGAGTGACCGAGTAGTACGAGTATCATCTTCGTAATCCACAGCTAGCCGATTCGAGCCTGGGTAACTACGAGTGATCTCGCAAAATCCTTAACACCCACGCGACTGCTAGCGGCCACGTTGCAGCGAAACATGTGAGACACCGACGTATTGATAACCCTTTTCTTTTTTGTGACTCGTTAATGACTTAGAGTTCGTTTGACTGGACAACTCGCCGCTCCCCTCGCTGGTACGCACACGTCCTCAGGTATGGCTCTGATGTGTGTTGGAGTGCATTGTGTTCAACAGGATCATTCACATTTGATGTTTTGGGCGTTCTCCACTTCCGTCATCAGTCTACACCCATCGTTTTCAATATTTGCTCGAGATTTTCAGCTTGATCTGCGTGGCGCCCACGGAGATTCGAACCTGTGATCTCGCGTATGTGTCAGTTGAACAACTTGACTAACCGACTCTGCGATCTACGCTGAGCGCTGGTTGGCAGTCAACTTTGTGGCATGCTACACTTTGGTCGGCCAGTCTCCAAACGGAGGAGGCGTCTGCTTTGTAAAACGTCTATGTCGCCGGTTCGAATCTGCGTAGGTAGGGTGACTTTGCAGTATCCCTATCTGGCACACGGCTGTTGGTGGTTGCGAGGCAGCGAAGGTTCGGCTCGTGATACCGGCATACTTCTGCTGCTGTCTACTTTTTATCCTTCCATCTTGTTTTGCCTTATCCCCATCATTCTATACATTAGCTGGTGAGAAAACCCCCCAGCTGCTGTGCCGCACTTGGGTCACAGCAGAAAAACGAGACAAAAGCAAACCAAAACATAAATGTTATTATGCGTTGACATTGAGATCGGGGTTGGAGCAGGACACTAAACCGGAGTGAGTGAGCGAAAGCAGCTCACGTCACAAACGCCACTGTGGTCTGTTCTTCGCGAATATCCGCCAGACGTGTTCCTCGTCTTTCGGATCCTAACGAGGAAGTGGAGAGACTCCAATAGCGCTCTACTTCGTAGTGTGGGCCCTCATTTCTCTTGACCAGCTTATCAGTTGGCTTCCCTTCCACTTCTTCTATCCAGACTCCGGTTGCGCAAACTATGCACGACTCCGGAGTCAGTGTGCTGGCATGCGCTACACTTTTCCCTGTCATCGGAGCCTGGTGCGTGAACTACTGTTACTGAGCATTTCACTCGCTCTTCCTGCGCCATAAACACGATGCCGAACACGCTTGGTTGAAACCTATTCCATTCTAGGATCTCCATATTTGCTTCGTAATAACTGCAAACTTTCCCTATTCTTATCGCGTAGTTTGCTTCGATCCTTAGATATGACATTTGTTTTCCACTCTTGCGTGACCTGTTTGGTCAAGTTTCACATTTTCGGTCGAGTGCCTATGTGAGGATCATTTGTTGTATTTTTAAGAGTTACTTCCGTTCGAACGGGTGCTAAACGATGTCCAACATATAGTCTCTTTTTGCTTTGCCCACCTTTTGCTCAGTTTGAAACAGAAAAACTTGCCAACCGATACGGCCTCTCGGGACGTAGCTTATCAGGTCATCTCCGTTTTGTTGGATGAGGATGCATCAGGACCAGATTCGGAGTGGGAGTATTCCACCCGTCGCGTCATTGTCGTCGTCTTGTTTGAACCTGTTTTTCCCGATGCCTTTACAGTACCAGCAGGAAGGTAAGTTTGCATACAATTTGTACGATCATAGCAATACTTAACCGCTTTCGAATATCTAATGCGCATACCTGTGCTCTCGCCGTGTGTTGTTCTACTGGTCCCTCGGTGCCACTGTCCTCGTGCGCACAATGTGTGCCGCTGCGTGTGACATAAACCCTGCCACTGCATTGAAGCGGGGGTTATTTTGAAGCATGCGTTCTGTGTGAATGGATTTCGTTGCACCATCTCACCTTGGACCGCAATTCAGTTTAGCGCAAATTCGATCACTGGGATCGTATCTGTTGATTCAGATGTTGCATGTTGCCCTCCCGAAAACACTGCACAGCATGACCGGTTTCGAACTCTTTTGCTCTCATCGGGTATAGATAGCAGGAATGCGACTCGAGGTATCAGGCGAACCCCCCCCCTACGCTTAAACCACCGTGTGGCGGCGCACAACTCTTATCCCAACGGTTAGTGACTGGCTGGATGGGTCATTTTGTAACACTCATTGTGTGACTGGATTGTGATGCATTTTGAAAATAGTGATGGACTGTTCACTTCTGTATGATAGAGCTTACAGCCCAAACCTTCGCCCTCCAAATACCCTTTGGTACCAGTGATGCGTCTCGCCTACCACACGGAGATCTTGCTGCTGTGAATAGGCTTAGAACCGACTGGAATTTCATGATTTCTGGACCTTTCGGATACAAACCGGTTTTTGTATGTTTTTATTGTGACAACCTTTCGTTCTTGACGCAAGGGCTTCTGACTTGAAGAAGCTCTTGCGTCAAGAGCGAAACGTTGCCACATTAAAAACTTAAAAAAACTAATTTGTACTCAAAACCTCCAGAAATCTTGCTGTTCTCTTCATCGGCTAGCAACGCTACAGACTACGGTTAACAACAGGCTTTAGTGAAGTACCCGCTAGTTTATCCCAGCAGGACGATCATTTCGAATTGTGTGTGCGCGCTGCTAAGTGGTCTATGTATCAGGGTTGTCAATAAGTCCTGGAAAACTGTCAGGAAGCCGTTTCGCTGATGCCGCTTCGTATTCACACCGTAGTTGACAAGGCTGAGCCGTATTTGCTTAATGAGTGTAGGTCCCACACTTGGTACTTTTTCATCCCTCTTGGTGTTTCTTGGTCCCTCTTGACTCTATCGCGTCCGATCACCTGGACGGAGTACCGACGCACTGCTGCTGCCTATCAAGTTATTGTGTTTAATGGTAATAATGACGGCAGTGATTTGACGATGTCTGAGAGAAACTTTAACTGATCTTCTGCAGCTAACGCCTTAATAATAATAATAATAATAATAATAATAATAATAATAATGTGTCAGCTGTACGCCGTAAAGGCGCTTTGCTGCCGCGCGACCACCACCAGTCGCGCGCCGGCTGAGTATACCGCGAGGACGCCCACGCCTACGCGGATTCGAACCGGTGGCCTTATGGTTGCAAACCAAACGCGCAGATTACTCGGCCACCGGCCGGTTTGTTGGATCATGTCCCATTCATGTTCGCTCATCGCCTATCTTGTTCGATGTTACTTACCACTAATGCTTTTGGTCACTTGGAACGAACTGCGATCTGATTGTGACCTTGAGCATGTTTTTATCCTGTGTGGCAACCTCGATCGGAAAACCCCGGGTTTGAAAACTGTCTTATGTGACACTATCATAAACTCAATGTCATTTCTGTATCCACTATCACTATGTTGTTTTCTTCTGACATTTTCATTTGCCTTTTGTTTGCCTTTTCACTTGTATTTATCTTTACTCGCTAGGGTTGTCTAAACCAAAGTTACTAGACTCGACGTCCTTTTATCTTCGACAGTTTTTCAGAACTCTTGTATCCTAGTCGCTGCCTGCGGGCTCCTACTTATCTTGCGCCCACCAAACCCAATACTAAGCCTGCGCAGTCTCCGAATTTTGTCTTCTTTACCATCGCAACGAGACTGGATCTTGGCATGGTGCGGTGCTTTGCGTACCCCCGAAACCCATCGAGTTATGCTGGATGGCACTTTCCAAGTGCCTTCAGCGTCACTCATAGCAAACGGGTCATCATCATAATCATCATCATCATGAATACACGTTAACCGAGGGTGAGAAACACACCTCAGCCAATGTACCGCAATGAAAAAAGGATAAGATATTAAGTAATGCAGACTAAAAGCGCTAGCCTAGTAACATAATGCTAAATATCATATTTGACATCGTTGTTGAAGGGGAAGCTAAATGGGAGGGCAGGGACAAAAACGCTCACAGCTTAAACACCATTGACGTCGACTCTTCCCCATGTCAGCTAATGTATCCAACCAAACGCATGCATCGGCCTTCAGTCCCCAGCCCGGCAGTCGGAATACACCAACCGACACCAAATTCGAAGTGAGGGTTTGCATTCTTCTTGACCAAGCCATCGCTTGACCTCCTCTCCTCTTCCATTCACACTCTCGGGCGCGCAAACAACCCTTGTCGCGGGAGTCCGTGGGCTGGCATGCGCAACACGTTGCCCAGTCATCGGGGACTGGTGCGTAGTATAGCGGTGTTGAGCGGTTCACTCGCTCTTCATGCACCAAACACGCGACGTCGAACACGCTCATTGCTCACCCGGTGTCCCTACCAGACAAGAGCTAAGCTGCAAAGACATCGAATATCGAACCTAACTAGCCTCTTTATATCTGTCGAATTGATGCGTCAGGTTTCACAGCCTTACAGGAGGGTTGTACGGACGGATACATCGTAAACTCGGCCCTTCAGAACGACAGTAATGTCACTCCGGCCCCAGTTAGCAAAAGCACATCGAGATTTTACTGTATGTTTTGTGATCTCGTCTTTGATCCCGAGGGCGCTGAAATAGCTATCAAGATCGCCTTAGTTTCGCAATCGGTATGCGAACGTTTCATCACCACACGAGGTGACTTCCTCAGTGCGCTGCTGGGTCAAACGTAATCCGCTAACATGGTCGTCGATTTGTGATTGATAAGCAAGTGACTTTTGAATTGACCTCCTCGATCTGTGCCCCTGACCATCCGCTTGCCCAACTTCTCTGATAGACACGGGCGATCCTTTGGATGGATCTGCCCCGGTTGTTGCGGCTGTATTGTTAATGGCTCGTTTAGCTGCTCACGACGGTTTTTAAGTTGTTTTACTTCTCTCCATCTTAGCGTTTCGTAAACTGGGTCAATCTCGACGTGCATGTTTATCGAGTACCATGCGTCGAGGGATTCTCTTCCTTTTCGTGTCTCTCCTTATGCTAGGACCTCTGCGTTGTTCCCATCGAAGCGATGTTCTTCTTCTTCTTCTGTATGTACTGAAATCAGTGAGAGAGCGTAGTAGATCTTACAAGCTCTGTTATGCTCTTGTATTCTTGTAGACAGTTGTCTTCCTGTCTGACCCACATAGTTCTTATCGCAATCTTGACACGGTATCTTGTAAACAACATTTAGTCTTTCGTGTGCTTCAGGTCTAGCTTTGGGTTTCGACAGGGTTCCCTTCAAAGTGGCGGTTGCTTTGTGAGCGAGTGTAAGACCGTGCTGTTTGAACACTTGCCGTCATCTCGGAGATGTTCTTTACATAAGGTAGAACGATCCTCTTTGTTGTCGGTTGAGCAGGCTGAGAGGTCGTAGCTTTGTTGTTTAGACATCGCTGGACAAATTTATGTGAATATCCATTTAGGTAAAATGATATGAACAGGTATATCTCTTCTTTCCACTTCGCCTCAAGAGTGCTGCAACGTTTCAACTCTACATTACGAGTGATTGCTGTAGTAGTTTAGAATCTGGTCGGTGTGTGTTCCTTTCCCGTAAACCGAGGTTTGCAGCTCTTCGTCAATCGTCCTGGTGACTAACACATCCAAAAATGGGAGCTGGTCTTCTATCTCCGATTCCATCGTAAAATGAATGTCCGCGATGGCGTTATTGAGCAACTCGTATGCAGCCTCTACTTGACTACGTTTCAGTATCACGAAGGCACCATCGACATATCGGATCCACAAATTTTGGTTGATTATGGGCAGTACGTCCTCTTCAAGTTTCTGCATTACTATTTCTGCAGCGAGTCCTGGACACATGGGATCCCATCGAGACTCCTATCAGCTGCTCACAGATCTGTCCACCAAAAGCGAAGTAGGTCGCGAGGCATAGTTCAAGTAGCTTGCACAGATGTTCACTCGGCAGCTTTCCGATTGTTTTCTCACTTTGGTCCAGCAGTTTGATGATTGCTTGCTTTGTGGTCTGTAAGTTGACAGACGTAAAGAGTGCGGTCACATCGAATGATGCCATTATCTCGTCATGATCTACTCATATAACTTTGAGCTTCTCCAGTTGTTAGGTGCTTGAGACCTCCACAACTCTCTTGCTACGTTGTACGTATGTGTGCCTGGGAGCGATATGATTGGTCTTAGTAGTGCATCGTCTTTATATATTTCTGGAAGCCCGTAGAATTGTGCTATGTTCGGATCGCGGGCCATCACAAAAGAAGACCGTGACCGCACGGTCTTCTTTTGTGAATACATCTCTGAGGCATCGATTAGCTTGAGCGAAGGACAGCAATAGGTTCCGATGGGCACGGAGTTTCAGTGTCCTTAACTCTGATTCGACGTCTGACATGGAGTTTTCAAATCTACCGCGAGCGTTGATGGATGGCAAGAGCCCGTGAGAGAGAGAATGCTAGTGCTGTTGACAACAACCGAATGCTATTGCAGCTCATCCGGAACACGGGTCCGAGAAAGCCATCAGTTAGCCAGACGACAGCTGAGGAGGACAGTTGATCCATTCTCAGCCTCGTGGACTAGCCCGTTAAGAGGAACGTTCTGAAAGGCAGTTCAGCGGGCCTGTTGCGCCAGTGACGCTTGCCGAATCGCCTGACCTGACGTGGGAAGTTGATGGCACACCTCCCACTTTGGAAGATTCTAGATTAAGTTCCCGTGTTGGAACGAAACAAGGCTCACGGATCAGACGAATTTCCTCCATCTTTGCTGAAAATTGGTGGTGCCCGTTTGTTGACTGGAATCGCTTCTCT